GATGAGGCCCGAGCCGAAACATATTAAACGTCTGAAACATGAATAAATAAAAGAGGAATATTTGAGGAACACTTTATTGGTTCGAACAGAATCTCTCTTTTCTCTTCATATCAAAACAAAAACACATTTCATCATCGAACAGATTCAAATAACGCTCAAAATAAAAATCACTCATTCATAAACAACCTTTTTATTTTTCACCTCCTGCTGTGAGAACACCCGGTTTACCTGTGAACACCCGGTTTACCTGTGAACACCCGGTTTACCTGTGAACACCTGGTTTACCTGTGAACACCTGGTTTACCTGTGAACACCCGGTTTACCTGTGAACACCAGGTTTACCTGTGAACACCCGGTGTACCTGTGAACACCCGGTTTACCAACTATGAACACCTGGTTTACCAACTATGAACACCTGGTTTACCAACTGTGAACACCTGGTTTACCAACTGTGAACACCTGGTTTACCCTATGAACACCTGGTTTACCTGTGAACACCAGGTTTACCTGTGAACACCAGGTTTACCTGTGAACACCAGGTTTACCTGTGAACACCTGGTTTACCTGTGAACACCAGGTTTACCTGTGAACACCAGGTTTACCTGGCACTAGGACTGTGTGAAAAAAATCGACTAAAATGTGAATATTTCTCTACTTTTCCCCCTCAAAGATCTGTAGTTTGTTATTGTATAACTTTGTAACAATTGACAGAAAAAGCTAAAATAAGACAAGAGTTTTGTAATAAAAAAAAATCCCTTTACGAGTTTTTATTCCTAAAATTCACCTTTAATGAATTCTCCTTTTGTCAAACAACTTCATAAATGAGTATTTCTCAAAGTAGTGCTGCTGTGATTGGTCAACCGCTTAGAGATGTCCCGCCCCTTAACCTATCACGTGCAATGTGTTGGAGCGATAGCCAATAGGAGCGCGAGTGTAGTAGTGATGTCGCTGTGGTAAATTGTTCAGTATTTTATTCAGATTTATTTTGCATTTTGACTGAATTGTTGTTTTATTTAGAATTATTTGAAGGCATTTAATAATCTACTTTCTTCTTGTCAACAAATCTCAAGAAAAATAATATTTAAAAAATATTTTCTCAACAAAATGCAGAACGTCTCGCTAAATTATAATTAAATCTATCTATTTTTTGATCTTGTTAATTCTTGAGGGTTTTTCTCCTGTTTTGGGATTTTTTTGAAATTATAATTTGTTGACACAAAAATAAAAACTAGCTTTAATTAAATGCACGACTGTTTCTAATTTTGGTCAATTTTTAGGCACTTTCTCCGGGAGTTTTCGTGCTTCACTTTTATGGGAAAATAATAATTTTTAAAGCTAAAACTAAAAACAGGAATCAATCAAAGAAACATCAAAGCACGACGTCGCAAAATCCCAAACTTTAAAGCAGAAAATTCAACATGTTTCCTTCAGTTTTTGATTGTTTTTTCTCTCTCCAGATCTTCACAGTTTGAATTGAAGCGTTTGCATAATTGAGTATAAAACTAATTGGAGCTTCTCCTTCTGTACAGTTCATGGGACCCTATGGAAGCTCTTTAGTGCCAATAAAACAAAAGGATAACATTTAAGAAATCTGATTTTTTGAAATGTTTAAGTCAGAATTGTGAGTTTTATTATTCAAAATTATATTTGTTATGTTATTTAAGTGAGTTTAACTTTCACTCTGAATCCAAATAATAAGATAAAGTCACAATGTGCCTTTCTTTTATAAAAATTACAAGATTATTAAAGTGGAATCTGATTGTTAGTAAAAATCAAAATAAATACAAATATTTATTATAAAGGAGTTATTTAATTAATTAATAATAATCAAAATTAGGAGAAAGATTATGAGAAAAAACCCAAAAATATAAATTTAAATATTTATCTTTTTTTATTTTCTTGGCACGAATGAGCTTCCATACTTCGTTTCCAGGTGAAATTGAAGGTTAAAAGAAAAAGAAAAACTTTATTTACATTTGTTTTAATCATCTTATTCTCTTATTTACATTGTGTTCGTCTGTAACGAGGGTCTCTGCGTCTGTAACGAGGGTCTCTGCGTCTGTAACGAGTGGTTTATCGGCTTTTAAATTCAGGATGTTTTTATTTAAAATTGAGACGATGCCGAGCGAGCGTTTTCACTTCAAACCTTAAATAAAAATCCATCCCTCGACGCATAAAAAAACAAAATGGATGCCATAAAAATAAAATAATTCAGCCCTTTGTATTCTGTCCGTTCAGCAGCGGCACCTGTGTTTACATTTCTAACGAGAAGGAGAGAAGCTTCAGGTGTTTCAGGATTTAATTAAATATGTAACACACAGATGAACAGCTATGGAGGCTAATGAGTGCCATCGGAGGTTAAATATTTAAATATGGAGCCAGAGGGGAATAATGTTCTGGAAAAGCTTCAGGATTAAAGTCGGGAAATGTAGGAGAAAATAAGTGAATTTTTTCTGAGATTTAAAGGGTTTACTTGTGGGGAAAAAAAAAGAAAATCAAAATTATTTAAAGAAAATTTCATTTTTTTCCCTCGTTAATTCAACACTTAATTCTTTGACAATATTTGACACATTTCTCTTAAAATATTTTAATAATTAAAGAATTATTTTGGAGAATAAATCAGATTTTTTTCTCAAATTAATATTTATTTTTACTAAATTAAATTTCAACTCAATTTCCCCCAAAAATTCTGGTAAATCAAATACATTTTCTTCTTAATTCGTACATTTTATTTTACAAAATTTCATCTTGTTTACGTCAAATAATAATAATAATCTTGTAAATTCAGCAATTTAAATCTCAGAGAATTCACGCATTTTTCTCCTAAAATCTCCGCTTGAATGTCTCCTCCTTCCTCCTCAGAACGTTCCTCCACCCCGCGGCTCCACATCTGATTTACTTTCTCTAACGTGAGGGTTTACAGTGAAGCTTCTTTCACGATTTTTACCAAAACTTTTCCGTTCTTTTGCGTCCTCCAAAGATCTGTTTCCTGTCAAACGTCCCATCATCGTCCCTCGTTAACTCCTCGTTATCTCCTCCTCGTTATCTCCTCCTCGTTATCACCTCGTTAACTCCTCGTTATCACCTCGTTAACTCCTCGTTATCGTCCCTGGTTAATCGTCTCGTTAGTCGTGGACAGCTCGTCTTCGGAGGATTCTTCCGTCCTTCGAGCCACGTTTAAGTGCAAAAGCAGCTCCTATGCTAAGGTCTTTTATTTTGGTAGTGCGCGGCGCGTTCGACCGCTTCCTGTCTCGAGTCCTTTTTCAAAGAGAACTTCCAGTTTTTTATTTCCTACAGTTTCGCCCGCTGGAAGAACGCCTAAGGGGAGAAATCGGGACGTCATTAGTGAATAAAGTCATTTAAAAACAGGCTTTATTATTGGAATCAAATCAGTAATCACCTTTATGTAGTTTTTCAGGACTTTCACGTCCGGCTGCTGAAGAACCTGACAGAGCTCCTGCGAATAAAGTCAACATTTTACAGATAAATATAAAACTTCATACAATATTTAACCTGTGCTTCTTTAAGACATTTCTTGCATCATTTTCTTGTATCTTCATATATTTCTTATTTTTCACTAAATCCAATAAAATATGGAGGTAAATGACAGGTCTGAAGCTCCACACGGACAAATTACAGGCATTACATGTTGGTTTTTGTTAATTCAATGTTGAAAATACGACGTTTTAAGTTAAAAATATGCGAAATAAAGTCAATTGTTCTGTAAAGGCCAAACACAGCAGGAGGGTGAGGATCAAACAACAGCATCATGCACAATACAAAGGTGCATTACAAATATTCATAATACATTAAATATCACAGAAACAGTTTGACTGAATATATTATTAATAATAATAATAACTTGGTCGCTTTACAGGGAAGATATTGACGTAATCAAGTCACAATTACAAGACTTAAGCCAAAAAGCCTCCGCTATGAGAAAAGAAACTGAAGCTCAGACTCAGGTAAGCTCACCTGAGAGATCTCCGGAGCGACCTGCAGAGAGGGAAGATACTCCTGCTGCAGAAACTGGATGAACTCCGGACCCTGAAACACAAAATATCAGATTAATAAATAAATGAGGAATATATTGCAGTATTTAAAATGTATTAAAATAAGAGTTTTTACCCGTTTGAGATGAATAGTTTTCAGCGTGATCGCACACTCCGACAGCGTCTGGAAGGAGAGAAACGTTAAAAACAACGTGACGTAAACAACAACAAGATTTCTCCTGACCAAACAACAACGTGACGTAAACAACAACGTGACGTAAACAACAACGTGACGTCGGAGCTCTGTAAAAACAAAGCCGTCTCTGCCGTCTGACGCTCTGTTTGATACTCAGATTTCTGGAGTAAAAAAATATCAAAATCAAAAAAATGTTATAAAAATTCAATATAATTTTAAATTTGAAAACAAAACAAATCTTAATCCATGAAATTAAAAAAATTAAAATCCCAATTTTTTCCCCCTAAATCTTAAAAAAAATCTAAATATAAGAAGAAAAATTATTTAAAAAAAATCTATATAAATAAAGATCCCCCAAAAATCTAAGAAAATCTATAAATCCCAAAAAGTCTAAATTGAGAAAAATAAAAATCGAAACATGATATCCGTGTTTTCTTCCCGTAATGTAAGATTTGAATCCCAGAAACCTTATCCCCTGACTACACTTTTGTTTTTGGGGACCCTCACCAGAACGGTCTGAGCGTCTGAGAGGTCGAAGCTGGGTTTGAGCGGAGCGAGGAAGCAGGCGGGGACGATGTGTTTGTAGATGAAGTCGGGGAATCCCACCATGCCGTCTTTCCCTCCTGCAGGAAGAGCAACACTCAGTTAGAAACACACAGAACACTTTAGATATTATGTAGATCTGTAGATCTGTAGATCTGTATATATGTATATCTGTATGTCTGTAGATCTATAGATCTGTATATCTGTATATCTGTATATCTGTAGATCTGTATATCTGTAGATCTGTATGTATATTATGTATATCTGTATATCTGTATGTATATATGTATATATGTATATATGTATATCTGTATGTATATATGTATATATGTATATTATGTATATTATGTATATCTGTATATCTGTATGTTTATATGTATATCTGTATGTATATATGTATATTATGTCTATATGTATATATGTATATTATGTATATCTGTATATCTGTATGTATATATGTATATCTGTATATCTGTATGTATATATGTATATTATGTATATTATGTATATCTGTATATCTGTATATCTGTATATATGTATATATGTATATCTGTAGATCTGTAGATCTGTATATATGTATATTATGTATATCTGTATATATGTAGATCTGTATATCTGTATATCTGTATGTATATATGTATATTTGTATATTATGTATATATGTATATATGTATATATGTATATATGTATATCTGTATGTATATATGTATATTATGTATATCTGTATATCTGTATATATGTAGATCTGTATATCTGTATGTATATATGTATATATGTATATATGTATATTATGTATATCTGTATATCTGTATATATGTATATATGTATATCTGTAGATCTGTAGATCTGTATATATGTATATTATGTATATCTGTATATCTGTATATATGTAGATCTGTATATCTGTATATCTGTATATCTGTATGTATATATGTATATATGTATATTATGTATATCTGTAGATCTGTAGATCTGTATATATGTATATTATGTATATCTGTATATCTGTATATATGTAGATCTGTATATCTGTATGTATATATGTATATATGTATATATGTATATTATGTATATCTGTAGATCTGTAGATCTGTATATATGTATATCTGTATGTATATATGTATATTATGTATATTATGTATATTATGTATATCTGTATATCTGTATGTATATATGCATATATGTATATTATGTATATTATGTATATCTGTATATCTGTATGTATATATGTATATTATGTATATTATGTATATCTGTATATCTGTATGTATATATGTATATTATGTATATCTGTATATATGTATAAATACACTGAACAAAAATATAAACGCAACACTTTTGTTTTTGCTCCCATTTTTCATGAGATGAACTCAAAGATCTAAAACATTTTCTACAAACACAAAATAACCATTTCTCTCAAATATTGTTCACAAATCTGAAGAAAAGATCTGTGATAGTGAGCACTTCTCCTTTGCCGAGATAATCCATCCCACCTCACAGGTGAGGCATATCAAGATGCTGATTAGACAGCATGATTATTGCACAGGTGTGCCTTAGGCTGGCCACAATAAAAGGCCACTCTGAAACGTGCAGTTTTGCTTTATTGGGGGGGTCCGAAAACCAGTCAGTATCTGGTGTGAGGGTTACTGTTAGGGTGTGAGGGTTAGGGTAATGTTGTGAATCGAGTGGCCCATGGTGGTGGTGGGGTTATGGTATGGGCAGGCGTATGTTATGGACGACGAAATATCTGTAGATCTG